CAGGGTGAGTTCGAACTTGCAGTCCTCCTACCTCAGCCTCCCAGAGTGCTGTGATTACAGTCATGCACCACCATGTCTGGCCAGAATTTTTTCTTTTTCTTTTTCCTTTTCTTTCTTTCTTTCTTTTTTTTTTTTTGAGACAGGATCTTGACATGCAGTTCAGGGTGGCCTTGAACCCACTATGTAGTGCAGGCTGGCCTCAAACGAGGTGATCCTGCTGGCTCAGCCTCCAGAGTACTAGGATTATAGGCCTGCATCACCACACCTGGCCTTTCCATGTTCTTATCACTATACTATGCATTCATCCTTGGGCTTCCTCTATTAGGCTTTTCACAAAGATCTCTTTTCATCTATACTATATAACTTTACTCCTGCAATATAATTCAAGACCTGTACACCCCATCCAATGTTTTCTTGAATTTTCCAATAAAACCTCTAAATCAACCTGTTATGGTTTGTGTCTAGATGTCATTCTCTCCACCCCCAAAGTCTCATGCAGTCTTGGGGGCCAACCTTTCAGGCGTGGTTGAATCTAGAATTTGTGGCTGATTCATGGCTGGGATTAAGGGTGAGCAACTTCTAAATCAGTCCACTGACTGCATCAGCACCACCCTAATCCCAGCAGTCTGGATAAAATAAAAGAGGCACAAAGAGGTTGTTTCTCCCTTTTGCTGTCTTCCTTCCACTTTCATGAACTGTTGCCCTCTGCCATGTGCTATCCTCTGCCTTGGAGCCAGCTAATTATGACTGAAACCTCTACAAACTCTTTTAATTCTTGAGTGTTGGGTATTTTGTCCCAACAATGAGAAAAGTAACCAAGATACAACCTTTCTCCAAATACACTCTAGACACAGTAATTTATGGAGAATGTAGGTTTTTTTTAATAAGCATCTGCTTAGTTGTGATTAATGTTAATAGAGAAAGTCAAAAGTGATAATGAATTTATTCACAATTCTTTCCCATTGGCATTAAATTGAACACTGCTTTAGGCCAGACAAGGAGTTGAATTTTTCTTAGTAACCTGGTTGGTGTCCAGGTCAGGAGATTTAAACATGAATAATGTTCAATTGTGAATGACTATCTTTGTCACTTATCAAACTATCAATACTTAGCAAGCCCCAACTATTAAGTACTCTATGAACACTAGCAGTCAACAGATAAGACTGCTTCTGCCTTTAAGAAAACTTCCAACACATTTCTCAAATTAGAGTAGGATATACTGACTACCTAAGGCCTATCAAATTCCTATGTCCACATCTGGAAGTGAGAAGAGGCATATGGGCAGCAGTGTAGCAGTATTCCAACTGTGGTTTTAAATGTGCATTCTTGTAATAACCAAATGGGCATCTTTCCATGTTCTAACTAGGTGTATGTTTTAGATACATTTGTTCAATTTTTACCCATTATTATACTGGGTATTTTATCTCATTGCACAGAACAGAATACAAAGAGCACTTTGTATATTCTGAGAACAAAGTATTTTTTTGTTTGTTTTGTTGTTGTTATTGGGAATCAAACTCAGGAACTTGCATTTGCCAGGCAGGCACTGTGCCACTGTACATATCACAAGCCCTACAAAGTCTTTTATAGATATGTATTTTATACATATTTTCTCTCAGTCTTTATCTTACCTATTCAAAAGACTTTTTTTTTTTCTTTCCTTTTTGTGTGTATGTGTGTGTGGGGGTAAAACCAAAGATCGAACTCATCGCCTCACACTTGCCAGGCAAGCACTTACACCACTGAGCTAAATCCCTGGCCCTTTTTCTTCCTTTCCGGGGAGGTGTGGTTTTTTTTATTTGTTTGTTTGTTTTCCCCTAATACTGGGGACTGGACCCAGGGCTTTGCTCTACCAATGAACTCTTTCTTTAACCTGAAACAGTATCTTTTGAAATGCAAACATTTTAAAATCAGTGAGAAAGCTCAATTTATCAATTTAGTTCTTTAAGGTTCATTTTTTTGTGTATGTGTCATATCCAAGAAGTCTTTTGCCTAACCCTTTTTCTCCTAAATTTTCTGTTAGTTTTATAATTTTCATTCATAAGTAGATCTACAGTCCTTTTCAAGTTAACTTTTACATATGGTGCAATTTAACTGTCAAAAGTCAGATTTGCATGTGAATATCCAATTATAACATGATTTATTGAAAAATTAAGACCACTGGATTTTAATTACACAGAAAGTCACTGATGTGGTTTCAGATTCTACACTCAAACTTATCTTTTAGAAACAACTATCTGAAAAGTATATGTATTAAAATAACTCTTTTAAAACTATGTATGAGGCCAGATATTCCTCATATACTTCTACACTGACAAAATGCAGAAGCAGATCCAGTTCTTTTATTAATCTAAATATCAGACTTGTAAAAATGTAATACAATGGCAAGGTGTGGTGGCACACACCTGTAATCCATTTACAGCATTTGGCGGATTAGTCAGGAGGATTGCCTGGGGTTCAAGGCCAGCCTGTGCTACACAGTGAATTTAAACCCAGCCTAAACTATGCAGTGAGACCTTGTCTCAAAAAATCTGAAGGGAAAAAAAATATATAATACAATGCCAGCTTTACTTTTTTGAAAATAGTTATTTTTAATACAAATGTTTGTTAACATGGCATAGGTTTGTTATAGTTACTTTTTAAATTAATAAATACATGTTTACATAGCACATTCTAATTTCAAATACAGTGGATAGCAATAATCTACACAAATAAAAAGCACTGTAGGGTAATTTTTTAAAGATTGAAAAGGGATCCTAAAGCCAAAATATAACTGCTTTCACCTCTCTGCTCCATTCCTCTGCCATTGTCTTTCTCCTCTTCCTGCCCCAGAAGTTTAATGAAGAACCTCAGGGAAAAAAACAAAATAAAAATAAAGAGTCCCAGGGAGCCAGGGTCCTTATTTTGTAAACATCCTCATCTTGTGCAAGACAGCACACAAATTGTGAGTGCTACCCCAGTCCTGGGGGTAAGGGCGGGGTGCTTACAATATGAGGGAGAAAAAGAGGTTTGTGTCACGTCTGACCTGTCCCGTCCGGTCCCAACCCGTCCCCTGCCTCATGTGCTTCTGTTGCTTTTGCTGTCTTCTGCTGCCTTGAGGTGCTGCCCCTCAGCTGCACCACCCTGCTGTGCAGCCAGCTGACAGCGGACTAAAACCTCCATAACAGTGATACATAAACCTTCCTTTCCTCCATTTCGGGTGTCAGGTATTTTGACAAAAGTACCTTTTGAAAAGTAACCAAGACATACCCAGCGTATCTAAATCCAACTTTTTATAGACAGAGTAATGTACATCTGAATAGGTCAAACTCACATTCAAATCCTTTCCATTGCCTCCTATTCATGGCTCCCTAGCGTCTCTGGTCTTTTTTCACTACATTCTCCCCTCTTTATTCTCTGAAATAACAGCCTTGTTTTCTGTAGGACCCTCAAATATACCCAAGCCATACCTATCTTTAGGGGTCTTGGACAGGATCTTCTTTAGGCTTGCAATGTTTCCCTTTTTCACTCTTATAGTTATTCCCTACTCCTTCTTTGGATCTTAAAACACTAATTACCTAATCTTCCTTATCTTGTTTTCAAGCTAGCTTTTTCTCTTTTCCATTCATTCATTTGTTGCTTGGCCTCAGAACTTTAAGCAGGAGCTCTACCAGTGAGCCCAAGACCCTCATACATCCTGCCATCTCCCTGCACATTTCCTTCATAGAATTGATCAATTTTGGAGGTTACTGAAAGGTTCTTGCCTCAGTAGAAATTATGGCGGTGGTCTAACGAGGCGGAAGGCCAAAGTAGGACCATCTACCACTTCCTGCTTCTTCCAATTGGCTGCTTGGGCGTCAGCAATGCCCACCCCTAAGCGCCACCGCAGTCGGAAATTATGATATCCCATGCCCCACATTTCCAGCAGAGAAAGCCAGCCCCTGCGGTCATAGAGTTCTCTCCACATCCTTGGAGTAAAGACTATTTTTACTTTACATTCTCTCTTATCACACCGAAAACTCTTTCAGTTACAGTTTTGAGATTATGTGGTTTACAGTGAAAATAAACATAATAATTATGTAAGTAACTTTAATTTTATGGATCTATTCAATAGTTCTCATTAGCTTGTCAAAGGAGAGCTGGGTATGGTGGTATATGCCTTTAATCTCAGTATTTGGGGGCGGCAGGTGAGGCAGGGGCAAATTCAAGCCCAGCCTGGGCAATTTATAAAGATCCTATTAAAAAGGCCCCAGGTTCAATTTCTAGTACCAAACTACCTCCCCTCAGTCCCAGAATGATGATTCTCAAAGGGACTGGTGACATCGATGTAGTAAAGAATTAACCTCATTCAAAGAGAAACCCAGCCACTTCCTGTGGAGGTCTCTAGGTATTTGGAACTTGCCTGATGGACAGACAGTCTCTACCTATGACTTTAGCTACTGGACTGAGGTGACTTGTATTGACAGCTTCTGAACCACATTTTACCAGTTTTAATACCAGAAAGAAACGGACTGTAAGTGTATATACATACTGATATAGTAACCAAGAGACACCCTGAGCAAGGTAATTTATATTTTTAGTAATCATTTTTTAAAAACAACATGTTCAGGTAATTGACTATAATTAATCACATTAGTTGGCTTATATCACTGCAAAGCAAACATTACATAGTGAACTGCTGTCCACTGAGATTCTTTTATAATTTACTATCATACTTCTACTAGATCTCAAAACCAACAGTCAGGTTGCACTATATCTAGCCTGACAAGCCAAGCATGATAAAAATGTCTTGAGTGAGTCAGTCCTACATTAAAAGTTTCTCCTTAAAGGAATACTAAGTGCTATGAAATACAGGCAGTGTGAGGTGTGCGAAAAGGTGTGCCTAAAGTAAAAACTGGGAAGGAAGGAGGGACACACTAAGAAACTAGACACACATGCATATACGCCCACCTGCCCACCTACCCGCGCACGCGCACACACACACAAATGACCACAAATGACCACAGAGACAGAGAAAGTACCTGGAAAGCTGTGAGTGCGCCAGTCCCTGGGTGACACAGGCATCGCAGCGAAGGCATGCTGTCCGCCAGGCTGGAGCAGCCCAGCCACAGAGACCTGGGCATAGAGCACTGCAGAGAGAGGACAACTATGAGATGGGACAATATGGGACAGGATGGCACAGATTACAGGAATTTTCAAAGCATGGCTGAATACAATATTCCATTTGCAGCTGCCCTTTATAACAGAAACATTTTCAGAAACACACTACTCCACTGGGTCTAACCCCAAAGAGAAACTTAAAAGGGCGCCAAGTAGCCAAAAAGCAAAGTAGGAGAAGTAAATTATAGGTCAAAAAACACCAAATGTTTCTTAAAATTGTCCCTGTTCTATTATATATGAATGTAAAAGAAACCTATTTTTTTTTTTTGGTCTTTTTTGTTTTTATCAGTACCAGGGATCAAACTCACGACTGCCTGCTTGCAAGGCAGGTGCTTATGCCACTGAGCTAAATCCCCAGCCCCAAGAAACCTACTTCTTAATCCAACTGACTGTTTTCTTCATGGGTCTCAATTCATTGCCCATAAATTAATCACAGGGTGAAATAATCTATGAAAGAAGAATACTTTGTGGTAGCATTACAATTCAGGACTGGTAAATTAGAAAACAAAAGGTAAGTTATTTTTAGAAAAAAGAAAAAATGTATCTATCCCTGTAGCTTCTGACAGCAACTGACTAGGCACAGTTTGTATATGCCCTATCTTGTTAATCTGCTATTTATCAATATAAATGTATGCACTAGTTACCATAGCAACTAACTTCATCTTTCCAGATGTGCTAAAGGGGGTCAAGAGACTATTCAAACAGAAGGGGAAACAAAACCAAGTAAAGCAGTGGGAAAATGGGAGAGGGAGGGAGGCAAGGAGGGCTGAGGACGCTGCTGGTATTAAAAACCTTGTAAGAGAAAAAAAGCATCTCTGATAAATACTGGAGTATTCAGTGGCCAAAACCAGTAGAAATTACCATTTCTCAAAACACTAAGTAGACAGTATTAGCACTACTGCCTTAAAGAGTTCATAAGACATTATACCTTGCATTAATACTTGCATTCCTCAAAAATTTTGTTTTTCTGCATTTTACCCCACCCTCTTTTTATCTGTATATATTTGCAATACATACAGACATACTCACATGGGGACTGGTACATATCTTCTGTTCTGATCTCTGTTTTTCCTCCCCTCCCTTCTTCCTAGTAGAGGCCCCTTTCTCATCTCTATATAGTCTAACTCTGTTTCCTATAATCTTTCATTTGTTTGGTCTTCTGAGACAGGCTGTCCTTGAACTAAGCAGCCCAAGCCTTAGCTCTCAGTGATCCTCCTGCCTCAACCTAGAGCACTAGGATTACAAATGCACGCCACCACACCTTATAATCTTTTGCTTGTTAAATTATTTATACTTTGGGTTTCTCACATAAGAGAAAGTATGCAACCTTCTGTGTCCTATTTATTTCACTTAGCATCACGATCTTCAGGTGCATCCATTTTCCAACAAATGACTTAAAAGTATCCTTCTTTATGGTCAAGTAGTACTTCATCATATATTTGTGTAATTGTGATACATATATTACAGTTTTCTTTATCCATTCATTTGTTGATGGGCAGACAAGCTACTTTCAAGATTTAGCTATTGTCAGGTATGCTGTTATACACAAGCATATGCATATACCACTGAATATTATATTTTTTGCATCTGCTGCAAAGACGTCCAAAGGAAGGACAGCTGAGGTGAATGGAATTTCTATTTTTAGTTTTTTGAGGAATCTCTTACTTCCATAGTGGTAGAAATAGTTTATATTCCCACCAAGAATGCAGATGGGGCAAAGGTTCCTTTTCCCTTACAACCTCACCTGCATTTATTGCTTCAGTTCTTGAGGACAGTCATGTTTTCTATAATAGGATGGAATCTCAGTGTTACATTGATTTGCAGTTCCTCTAAGGATCAAACATGCTGAATACTTTTTCATGGTCCTTTTTTAAGCAGCTAATTAAAGTTTAGTGTATGATGGGTAGAAAAAAATCCCAGTCATTCCTGAAAGAAGGACTGAATTTAAGAAAAACAGAAAAGGTAGAAAAAAATGAGAGCAAACAAGAAAGAGCATGAGAACACAGGAAAGGGAACAAGAAGCAATGGAGAAGGGAGCAGCTGGGGAGAGCTTGTCATCCCACTTCCTGCTCACACTAGGCCACACCACAGCAGCCCTGTGAGGTGTATCCAGAAGCCAAGCGGGAAGCCCTCAACCTACACCTCGGCTTTTTATTTTTTTAAACATACACACTTACTTGCATTTGTTCCAAACAAATACAAATGAGTATTTTTATAACACTGGTTACAAATAACCAATGATAACAATTCTTCCACAAGGCTATAATAATTAAATGAACATGGTATGGACAGTGTCTAGCAAACAACTTTTTGTTTTTAAAATAGGCTCACACTCTGTAGCCCAGGGTGGCCCTGAACTCTTAAGTGATCTCTTGCCTCAGCTTTCACAGTTCTGACATTATAGGCACAATGCCATCTCGTCCATAAACTTTTCCTTTTGTCTCATAAACTTTAGTTCTCCTTTTGTGCTTGATCTGTTTCCACTCTGGTCCTAAAAAATAAGTACATTATTTGATTGGTGGATAAACTGTTGTTTTTATCATCTAAAGTTCATAATGGCTTCTGCTTACTTTTCTCTCTCTGCTGAGACAGAGTACCCACTGCACAATTTAAAGGTGAAAGGTTTATTTAGCTCACAATTGGTGAAGGTTTTAGTCCATAATCTGTGGGCTCCAGGACAGGGTGGCACAAGGCAGAGCCCAGTAGTTCATGGCAGACAGAAAACAAAAGCAGCAAGCACAAAAAATGGTCTAACAAGCCTCTTTCTGCCCCTTTTTTATTTTGTCCAGACTGCTGAGATCCAGTAAGTGGATTGAGTTAGTCATCACCCAGCCTTAATCCCAACACCGAGCCATTACTCAAATCATACACATGAAACTAAGCCGCCTCTGAAAAAGCCCTGTCTAAAAGTGTTGGCTTTGGGGGGACACCTAGACACAAACCACAACAGCTTTCCTGAACATTTTGAAACACAAAGGACATTAGTGGGAAACTTATTTTTGTAATGACATCACTTTACTATTTTAATTTTCTTTTTACACTGTGAAGATTTTAGAGCTCTTAGTTTTCCCAAAATTTTGTACAGTAAGATTAAGTGTGATCCTCTATAACACGTGGGCTTCATTTCTGAGTTAAGGACTATAGATTCTTGGGGCCAGGAGTTGAGCTCAGCACCTTAAGCACCTGCCTGGCAAACACAAGAAGAACTATAGATTCTTAAAAGTTGATTGTTGGATTTGTATAGATAGATTTTGACTGCACTGCATAGTTTAGAGAATACTAGGGTTCTCTCAGCCTGATGTTTTTAAAGTTGAAAAGGGCTTTCTACTTCCTGCTTAAGGATACATAAACTCTCAATGCTGCAGTCTTTCTTGTTATTACAGCTCCTGTTACTTCTAGAGGTTAACCAACAGGGACCTGAGTAGAGTAAATTTTGTCATTCTGCTTCTCGTGGCGCATGCTGAGGCCAGCCCTTTGCCTGTAGGCCCTCAGTGCGTGAGGAGGTGCAGTAACCACAGTGACCTTCATCCTCGCAGCAGAAGATGAGGGAGGGGGAAGCTTCCGTGTTCTGTGTAAGTGAATCTGTGGCAGTGAGCCTGATGGAGGTCCTTTATTACAACACTTTAATAGTCTTTTCCCCAAGTTTTTTCAGTTAGTGGAAACATATATAGGACCTCCTCCTTCAGTATTAAATAAGCTGGTGAACATAGGGTTAATTGGGTAGGAAACTTCAGTGATAATAAATTACAGTTTTCAACTTGCTTTGATTTGCACAGAAGAGCCAGGTGGGGTAGATTAGGTAGAAAATGAGCTGAAGAAACAAGTATGTATTATCTGCGGATGGCTTTTTGTAAGATGGAGGCACATCTGTGCACTATATTGTAGCTTTTAAAATTGCATAGGAGAATCATTTAAGGAATAAGTCATTCACACTTTTTTAAAAAAAACTATATAAGTGTCTAAATGTAAGGATGTCATTGCTGGATTGGAATTTAGACACACCCCCCTTTAATATAGTACTCAGTGGTAGAATATGCGGGAAACTATCAGTTTGATTCTCAGCATCACCACTAATAAAAATAGTAATAAGAATTTAGAGGAAAATCTTAGGAATTTACATGTAGTTTCCAAGGAGAAACAGCAAGAGCTTGAACCATGTGCTTTTCAGATATTTTAATGGCAAAGGCAAATTTTAAAGGCTATTATTTATTAAATGCTGAAGGACAGAAAAAAAAATCTTCTGTTTGTGTTAGAAACTTACAGAACAGAATGGTTCTAAAGCACAGCGAGACAGCTCTAGGGATAAATACCAAAATGGCAGCTCTTTCCACTGTGTCACTTGTTGCCCAGACTGCCTTTGACTCTCCCTGCCCCCTTCATTTAGAAAAACACTCCTATATATAAGATACAATGGAAGGAAAGAAATAAAGTAAAGTTATAGTCTACCCTATTTATTTCATAATTACATTTTTTTCCTTAAAGATTTCAAATAGCGCTTACCAGTATGGGTAAGATTAATTGTTACAATACAAAGCTATTTGAAAATTAGTTTTTAAATTGAGTTATAATATATAAAATCTTATGGTAATGTGTAGCTCTCACTGTAGTCAAGTGCAGCTATGCCCATACTAGTCTTGTAATAATCAGGAATGCATCCTCTGTGTGGTGTTTGGAAGTTAATGTTATTTTGGAACTCACATTGCTGTGTCTTGTGGCTTCCCTGGGTATATGCAGTTCATTATTGATCATAATTTTATTTTGGAATTTTAGTTTAAGGGGCTAGGGTAAGCTCTTTCAAATTCTTAGTTATTAGAGTTGATGGGATGCATGAATAAGGAACAGTACTACAATCGTAAGAAGAAGGAAACTCAAACACACACTGCAAAGATACAGATTTATAGTAAAAGTAAAAGACACGAATCATTCACAAGAGGAATACCTTATCAAAATTTTACTTGGATAAATAACA